TTACAGATATTATGATCGTAAGGAAGAATAGGGGAATGGGTACTATGTTCTTCGGATAACCGTTATAATAATGACATTAAAAGCAATGTACCATACTATCTGAATAACAGTATTAAAGGCTACCCATCTCTCATTTGAATATACTTTTGCTTCTCCAAGAGATGATTTTGTTATCTATTTTTCCTCCCAATACACAATCAAAATAATGTTAATTATGATGAGATTTTTATTTTATTTTGGGTAGATAGCGGTGATCACGACATGACGAGTCCTTTCATTGCTAAGATCATTCAATTATTGATAGGTGGAGGGCGTGGATGATGATACAGAACCAACTTGCTAGATACACGAAGACTTGTTCAAGTAAAATGACATTTGCCACCGTCAAAAGCATGTTTTTCTAGTTTCTGTTTTCTTCTTCCATTTATTCCATTTGATTAAACTTGGTCTGTATGGTCATGCCTTAATTAGTACCAGAATCATAACACAACCCATTTATTAAGCATTTAGAAGCTTTACATATTGTGAGTGGAGAAATTAGACCAAGACATCAAGAATTGGGGAAGCAAAGGCATGTAGTTCTTGGTTCTGCTCGAACAATGACATGTCCTCTTCATGCAGTGTCACCCACGCTTCGATTCCTTCCCCGTCCTTTGCATCGATTAAAACCGATACATTGTCTAACGCCGGAAATACATTCCCGGCAACCCAAACCGGCGACCCCCATCCAAAACTAGAGTCGTAAAGCTGCAGCTTGCACCAGCTACTCACGGTGTATGGCTCGTGAGTCTCGTAGCTTAACTTGGAGTAACTATCCATCATTTGACCAACCAATTTCAAACCGATCGTCATTGATGATCCTTCTTCATCTTGGACCAAAAGGGCTAACTCATCTGCCCTTTTTTTTAGCTCCTTAACAGCTTCCACAATCTCCACCTCGTCTTTTCCGGATCCGTTCAAGGTCATGGTTGAGAACATGAGGTTACCGATTAGGTTTTCGGACAAAAGGGAAGGTATCTTGGAGCGCAAGTTAGCAGGTTGGACCAACACTTTCTCGCGAGTTGTGTCTGGCGATGCAGCCACAACACATCTCCATAGAAGTGAAGTCACGCTCTGGACCCGAGTGGGTCGAGGCACGGCATCTACACTAGCGGCTTTGCTCTTGAGCTCTTCCACCTTAGATGCTACAAACACAAATCTCTTCGTAACACTTTTTCGCTTACCGGCTTGATCTTCCACTGGAACTTTAAAAGCCTCATTGGCTGGTGGGTAGAGCTTTGTGGCAGCAAACTCTGGACTCGCCACTGAATCGCTCTCTCCTCGAGCAGTGGTAGCCCAAGCCCGAATAAAAGTCGAGAGAGAGGCTGCATCAGCGAGCTTATGGGAGATGCTAATCCCGATGGCCATACCGCCGCACTGGAAGTAGGTCGCCTTAACCAGAAGCAATGGCCATGTAGGAGTTGCCACGGCATCTAGAGGAAGAAAGTGTTGTAGGGATTCGAAATCTGGAGATCTGAGAAAATCAGAGAGAGAACAGTTATCGACCCGTGCGTCGACAAAGAGGGCACCTTCGTTGTTGCAGTCCACGTTGACTCCCCTGATTCTGCCGGCAAAAGGGTGGAATCTTGTCAAGGTTTGGGACAGAGAATTCTTGAGTTTGTGTGAAGTGTGTTCTTGCGACGAGATCGAATCATCTTTGGTGTAGAAAAGAAAAGCGACGGTGTAAACTGGAGGCATTAGGTGATCAACCATAGAGAGTTGGAGAGTTCGTAGATCATTTGGAGCAGATGGCTTTATGATTTCCTGTGAGATAGTTTCGACCTTCATTGTCTCCATCGTTTATTCTTTCTCGATCTTTCCTTCTTTTTTTTTTTCGCTTTTCCTTGGTTCTTTACTTCTTTCTCCTCTTTCTCTTTGTACGAAGAGAAATAAATTTATATATAGAAAACGACAATTTTTATGAAATATCCAAAATGTCAATGCTCTACATTTTCGTATTATTTATTTACAATAATTTGTTTGAATATGATATGTGCCGACAGTAAATCGTTGGCATAATCGTCGACTAGCTGTAACTAAATCTAATAATAAAAGAAGAAATGCATGGGTTAAATCAACTATTTTGTCGTTTATAGAAAATATCTAACTTCTAATTGACAATCATCATAACTGTTAAATAGTTTCAAAAAAAAATCTGATTATATATAAAACCCCTATATGGTCCTCTAAATCTACATCATCGATTATCAATTGATTTGAAGTTCGAACAGATATACAGATATTATATTGACAAAGTTTGCGGAGTGCGGAGTGCCGACCTTGCGGTTAAAACACTTGAACATGCATAGGAGTCATTTAAGGGCAGGAGATATTATATTATTCTGCGTAACGTTATGTTCAAGTCAAGATCATTGAATTAATAATATAACTAAGCAAGAGATTAATAATTATATGACCGCTGTGAACAAGTATTATGCCGTATAATTATAACCGAACCGAAAGGAAATTTGGTTGATTCGATTTGAATTTGGTTTAAAGATAATAACCGATAGACAGAAGTCCCACCCTCCGTAATAGTGCTCGATGTTTCTTTCTTCATTTGGTTATCGAATTAATTTCGACCCAGTTCTTTGTTTTCAACCCAATTAACTCAAAATAATATTCATTTTTTAGTTCAAAACCAAAAATCAATTCTGGAAGCCCTCTTGACCTAATGGTTAATCAAATGTTTATTAATATTTCAAATAATTCAGTGTTAAAAAAAAAAACCAAAAATCAATTACAAACCGATCAATTTGCCTTAGTATTCCTCTGGCACTCAAATATATTGGTTCAAATATAAACGTATGCAGAAGACCCAACACCAGCTCTTTCACCATGTCGTGTTAGCCATTTCATTTTCAGTTTTAACAACATTGCCTAGTTTAAGGTTAAGTCAAGTTAAGAAGTACTTATATTCATTAAACGACCAAACCTAATTGAAATCGAACAAGTGCGTTTTACTAGTTTCATCAAGTTTTTGTTTTGTAACTGTTTGGATCATTATGGTGCATGGCAACAACTCTCGTTTTGTTCATTCTCAGTTTAATTATATATTCTTGGCTATTTCCTGATCTTCATCTACATTGTGCACTCAGGATTGGATTTACTGTTTTTCTCCCATTGTCTTGATTGCTTTCATTTGTCTTGATATGCATCATCATATAGTTTTCGGGGATATCTCGTAGTGGTTGCATGCACTGGAGTTACCTGGTATTGCTACAGCATGGTAATCACTCCGATAAGTTGCCTTATACTCATAATGCCTATTACGAGAAGAAAGACTAGTTTTTTTTTTTTTTTGCTGTTTCGTATCTTATCACGAAATTCTCCATTGCTTTAGTAACGATTCTTGATTGATTTCCGTACATATGACTGCGATTTGTCTACAGAGAAATTGGAATCTCTTTAGTGTTAATGTTGCTTTGGCAGGGACATGCATATACCAGCTTGCTCATACAATAAAGTAAGATAGAGGATAACATCCAATTCTTATTACATCACATGAAATGTGCAGAAAATGCTCTTTCGTTTATGCTATTGGAAGAAGAATGAGTATTTTTTTTTTTTTTTTGTGCTATGAGCAATCCTTACTAATGAACATACGTCTTGTCATCTAAGTCTTGAAATTTTAATGATTCAAATAAGCATTGATTGTTTATGATGCTTTCTTTAACTAAAGTTGATAAACGTATGGTCTACTGGCATGATTTTGCATCTAAAAGCGAGTCTTGTGTCAATATCAGTTTTAAATACATTGCCTAAAAGATTATAATGGATGACACTTCTCTACTCAAAGGTGAAAATATAGAAAATTCATAGCCTTGAATTTAATCAATTGACCATCATTTGTAATAAGACTAGATCAAAAATATCTGATTATAATTTAAGAGACTATAACATAACAATCAAAAATAATAGTCAAATAAGAAAACTAGTATATTGGTGACCCGTGACCCAGCCTGTTGCGTTCTATATTTCATGTCTTGTGATCGTCATTTGAGTCGGCAATCTCAAATTATCATAATAAATTCTGCGATGAACACAATAATAGGAAGTTTGGATTTCACAATACTTTTTTTTTTTTTTTAAAAAGAGAGAATTTGATATCAGAATACACGTGAAACTTGATAACTAATTAGGCGGTCATTTTTTTTTCCTTCATCTTTACGTTTTGAAATATTAAAGAAGTCAATCATTTTGCTACTTGTCAAACAATTTTTTTCGTATATTATGTTAAAAATATAATTAAGTAGAACAAACGAAAACTTCTTATACTAAAATTAGCTTTAAGTTTCATATGATTATTCTATAAAATTTTTATCCTATTCAATTTTCACTAATTATTCAACTACTCCACTTGTATACTATTCAGCTGATATACTGTTTACAAGTTTTTGTGTGGCTATAATCACTCGCACATGTATTTATAACGACTTAACGAGCAAAGTCATCTCTCATTGCTGAGTTATTCATTCAGAAGATCATATTGATATTACTATATACACCTCCATGGACTATACAGTCTTACACCCCCACTTGAACTATCGGTCACTGCCTCATTCCCATCTTTACGTGCTTATGGATCCTATATTTTTTCAGAGATGAAATTCACAAATCTGCGGAACTTAGTATAACTTTTGACAGTTATATAAAAAAGTATTACATTAAATTGGATTTTATAGTTTGATAGTGTGTAATATTGATGTTTTTGTCTCACCAACATGTGTAAGTTGACACAATAAAATGATACTCTTTTACAACATGGGTTACCTTTTTTAAACACAATCTTGGACACCTATTATTTTTTTTAAATAAACAATTACCATCTTGATTAGATATTATTGGAATTGACTGGAGAGCACCAGTATAAAGACAGAATGCCTCCCTCAGAGAATCATGCAACCCTAAATCCTATAACCAACGTATCCAAAATCGTTGACAAGAAAGAAAAAAGTAATATGGTATATGTTTATGAGTTTTGGGGTGTGATAGTTTCACTCATAGTGGTGAAAGCTTTTCACTGGATTTATCAGTGGAGCAATCCAAAGTGTACTGGAAAACTTCCTCCAGGGTCTATGGGTTTTCCAATCATTGGAGAGACTTTTCAGTTCCTAAGGCCTCATGACGCTCTTCAGTTTTCAACATTCCTCAAGGAGAGAATCCTCAGGTTCTTCTGCAAATTTCTCTAACATACGTTGATTTTTACGTATGTTTTAAAATATTTATCTTAATTATTCCTAAGTTACTTATACATTACGTTATCTCTGCTTTGGTGAAAACAAATAATAGGCATGGACCACTTTTTCGGTCAAGCTTATTTGGAGGAAAAGTAATAATCTCGACGGATATTGAATTGAATATGGAGATAGCAAAGACAAATCGTATTCCTGGTGTTACGAAGAGCATAACAAGGCTCTTTGGGGAAAACAATTTGTTTATACAAAGCAAGGAGTCCCATAAACATGTCCGGAACTTGACATACCAGTTGTTGGGTTCACAAGGTTTAAAATTGAGAATTTTGAAAGACATCGATCTCTTGGCCCGCACACACATGGAGGAAGGAGCTAGGAACGGTTTCCTTGACGTCAAGGAAACATCAAGCAAGGTAAAAAAAAAGTCATCCATTTCACGTTGTCTTTATCTCTTGACAATAATATTATCAACTAGTTTGTATCATAAAACTATACAGATCTCAATTGAATGCCTTGCGAAGAAAGTTATGGGCGAGATGGAACCAGAGGCGGCGAAAGAACTCGCACTCTGTTGGAGATATTTTCCGAGTGGCTGGTTTCGGTTCTCTTTCAACCTTCCGGGGACGGGTGTCTATAACATGATGAAGGTAAGTGTTTTCAGTAGCATTTGCATATGATATTTTTGTGCAAAGTGATCTGAGGCCATGATGGTAAACGTTTCCTGGCAGGCAAAAAAGACGATGATGAAGTTACTAAAGGATACAGTGTTGAAGAAGAGAGCATCAGGAGAGGAGTTTGGGGAGTTCTTCAAGATCATCTTTGGAGAAATGGAAGGAGGAGAGGAAACAATGAGCATAGAGAACGCAATCGAGTTCATATATACCTTCTTCCTGATTGCTACCGAAACAACTCCACGGGTTCTTGCGGCTACAGTAAAGCTCATAAGCAATCACCCCAAAGTCATGCAGGAGCTGCAGAGAGAACATGAGGAAATTGTCCGAAGTAAGACTGGGAAGGAGGCCGGCCTAACATGGGAAGACTACAAATCCATGACTTTCACGCAGATGGTCAGTATATGCCCAAATCATAGGCGCACACACCTATATTATTAGGGACTAGAAGTTGAAAGGAACTTTTAAGTAATATAATTTTTTTGCCAATTGGTGTGACTCCGTTCATTGCTTAGTATTGTTTTTTAATTGGAAGCCAATAAACTTTATCATATATGGTTCAGGTGATCAATGAGTCGTTTAGAATCACAAGCACGGTGCCAACAGTGCTTAGAGTAACTGATGATGATATCCAAGTTGGTGACTATACAATTCCAGCTGGTTGGACCTTTATGGGCTATGCTAGTGTCCATTTTAATCCAGAAAAGTACGATGACCCTTTAGTATTTAATCCATGGCGCTGGAAGGTATATTTTTAAATTTGATATTTAGCTAATTCACTCAAATTTAGAGAACTTTTTTAATAGATATAAGAAATTAATTTTCCAGGGAAAAGACTTGGGTGCGATCGTGTCCAAGACTTACATTCCATTTGGCGCAGGTCCTAGACTCTGTCCAGGGGCTGACTTCGCTAAGATGCAGATGGCCATTTTTATCCATCATTTGTGTAGATACAGGTTCACTTTTAGCACCTAATAACTCAATGATCAATTACATTTGTACTATACAGTCAAAGTCGTTACTTTTATATAAACTTTTAGCACCTAATCAGTCATGTTCATGACATTTGTACTATAGTCAAAGTCTTTATACTTACATATATACTTACGGTTTGCAGGTGGTCAATGAAGGCACAGACCACAGTAATTCGAAGGTATATGCTACTGTTTCCACGTGGATGTGATGTTCAGATCGCGGTAGACAGCAAGGTGGATAGCTCGGCTGGTTATATACCATTCGAGGTTCTTGGTTCGAATACCGTAGTAAAGTAGTGATGTATATAGCTTCTGAGCTCTGCTAAATAAAAGCTATAGATATACAAATTCATAAGTATATATCTCACTGCAGATATCAGAAAAGTTATGAAAGTTTACTTTTATTTTTAGTGTTAAGTTATGAAAGTTTACTTTTATTTTTAGTGTTTTCTTAATAATGTAATCAAATATTTGTTTATCGACACATCTATCTATTATATTATGGAAGAATTTGTTCTCTCCATTTAAAATGTCCACATCAACAAAACCACAAAATATAACGTTTAAACATTAAAATATTTATTTAATAGGTATCTATTTATTTTATTATTAATATATTTACTATAAATTAAAAAATACAAAGAAACTAGAAAAATACAAATATTAAATTTATTTAGAGGCCTAAGATAATTTAGAAAACTTTGGCTTTTTATAAATGTATAATTTTTACAAATCATAGAACTTAAAGATAAATCAAAGTGTAAAATCTATATCACTGAAATGTAAAATTATGTATAAAATAAATATATAAGACATTTTAATGAATTTGTCATTTAAAAATATATTAAAGTACCAAATACCTATCAAAACATATTAAAATGGTAGAATAATAAATATATAATATGTGGATAATAAAATTAAGTCATTAAATTTAGGGTTTTTGCTAAAAATAACCCAAAACTTGACTTTGAATACAAAAGTAGACCCCTGAAAAAACATTTGGCAGAAATAACCTAAAGGGTAGTGAAAAGACCATTTAATCCTGTATGAGTAAACAAAAAACGGATGTCCTAATTACCGTTTACTCCCTGACGAAGTCTACTAAAGTGAAAATGAAGTCTATTAGTAGACTTCATTTTATCGAAATTAAGTCTACTAAGTAATTAAATCTGTAAATTTAATTTTATAATTTTAAAAAAATTATTTTGGTATCAAATTGACCATCATAAATTCCGTAATCGTAACCCAAATGTACAGAAATTATTTTTCATATTGGTAAATAGAAATGTATGTTTTTAAATTAAGTAGAAGTAAATTTATTATTTATGTTTTAAAAGTTGTAGACTTCTATATTGAAGTCTACTAAACCGAATAAATTAACCTAACAGAAATTTAAACCAAAATTAAACCGGGAATAACTTCGCTTAACCAAGAGAAACTGCCTTTAACCGGGTAAATTTACCTAGACCCCGGAAAATTAGTAACCTTAACCGAAAAAAACTTACCCGAACCGTACGGAATTACCAGACTATATATACGAATTTAACAGATCCCGTTAAAAAAAACCGTCGAAAGTTCGTGTAAAAAAAAAGTCGAAGGCGATTTCAGTTTCTCTGCTCCGGCGCCGCCGACATACAGAACCGCCACCGATAAACTCGTTCAGGCAAGTTTTCTTTCTCCAACCACACCCCCATGCTTCCCTACTCCTCCGTATTCATCACCTTTCCGTTTTCGTAACCCCAGTTTCCAGATCTGAAATTAGGGTTTTTTTTTTTTTTTTGCAGATCTGCTTTCACCGTTGGAGGTTAACGTCATTTACTGCCTCAAAACGGTTAGTAGATGTTGTTCTGAAGTTATATACTTAGCAATTCTTCTTCTATCTTCCTGTAATTTTTTCCTGCGGGTTTGACTTAGGTTTTTTTCCCAGATCTGGTTGTATTTTCTCCACGCCAGCTTCATCTAATAAAGGCGGTTAACACTATAAACTTTGTAGATTCCATTTCGATGATTTGTTTTAGTAGACTTCATATACAGTATTTATCATGTATTGATTGCTTCGGTTGGGTTCTGTAGACTTCATATGCAGTATTTATGATGTTTTGATTGCTTCATATACTGTTTTTTTGATGTTAAGATTGCTTCGGTTGGCTTCAGTAGACTTCTCGACTCGGATTGTACTTAGAATGTGAAAGTAGACTTCATTTTGTGAAAGTAGACTCTATTTTGTGAAAGTAGACTTCATTTTGTGAAAGTAGACTTCATTTTGTGAAAGTAGACTTCTTTTTGTGAAAGTAGACTTCATTTTGGGAAAGTAGACTTCATTTTGATAAAGTAGACTTCATTTTGATAAAGTAGACTTCATTTTGATAAAGTAGACTTCATTTTAAAAATGTAGACTTCATTCGTGTATAGTTTCAAACCGTTGTTCTCATTAGAGCTTTGTTACCGTTGATGCAGGAATCTTTATTAGATAATGGTGGCCTCTGAATTCCCTAGAAGACTTTACACCAAAGGGTTTGAGCCAGCCCCGGATAAAAGCATCGGCTATTATGCTGATGATTATAGGCTGGTCCCTGCACTAAAGTCAGCTCTACAAGAGGATGAATGGGAAGAGATTTACGAGTCACCGTTGGGTGTCTTTTTAAAGGTTCCACGACTTGGATTTTGGTTGGGCTTCTAGGCTGGTGCACCACATGCTGACCTTTCAGATAGTTTGCAAGCAGAGGTACAAGATATGGAGCCTGATTGGTACCACTCCAGTTTGGTTTTCATTGCATGAGTTTGAGGAGATCACCGGACTCAACTACGGGTACGTGGATGACTTGGCTTTAACTGATCTTACGCTTTTCGATGACATGCGTGCATTTTGGGAGCTAATGGGGGTCGACGCCGAGTCGGGCCCAAGCACTACCAGAATTATCGAAGCCTGTTCCAACTGCTCATCATGGTCTCGGGATGATAGGCTGCGGTTTGGTTATCTTGGGATCTACGCTGGTTTCATAGTGGCAATGAGACCTGGCTCATCCACAAATGTCAAACATGCCAGACTAGTGATGGATCTCGAAGGTTTCAAGGAGTTTCCATGGGTAAGAATTGCTTTTCATCATTTGATCAAGTCTGTTAAGGAGAAAGATCTCAGCAAAAACATTCATATAGAATGATTTGTGCAAGCTCTTCAAGTGTGGGTGTACTATGCTCTACCGGATTTTGCTGCTGAATTTGGCGAACCATTGCCAAATGATACTGAAGAACCTCTTTTGCTGGCTTACAAAGGATCAAGAGGACGAAAGAACGTCAAAGCCAACATGCTAAAACAGGTACTGTATTAGTGTAGTAGACTTCTATGTAGTAATGAATTTTCAAAGTAGACTTCAGAAGTAGACTTTATGTGTAAACTTCTATATGTACCATTAATAGTGTTTGACATTCAGGAGAAGACTTCTGTGTTAGACTTCAAGAGTAGACTTCTATGTTAGACTTCAGGAGTAGACTTCATACGTAGTTTTTTGAGGCTTCATATGGCTAGTAATCCATTTACTTATTGTGTTTTTCCAGGCTCGCATACAGTCCTGCGTGGCTAAGGACTTGGCGGATATGTTTCCCGTTTGGGATGATGACGAACAGGATCCAGATATTGTCAAGATTGTCAATGCACTCCATGACCCCAATTTCAAGTTCTCAAAAAACCATTGGCCTTTAGAAGGTGTTTTGGGTGCACACATCGTCAAGTCAGAAGCCGGAAAAAGGAGCCTTCCCTCAGATGAATCAAGTCGCAAGAGACCCTGCACAGCCTCTGCCTCTGCCGCATCATTCGTTGGTGATGAAGGGGTCGGAGTTGTCGCTACTATGAAAGCGCACTTCGACCAATGCTTCCAAAGCTTTTCAACCAAGATGCTGAATGGTCTTGGTAGCTGTGAAAAGCAGATCAAACGTCTCACCGAGAAGGTTGAATCTGTAGAGCGTGCGGTAGAAGAGTTGACTACAGGGTCGGCGAAGCACACTGAGGAAGAGCTAACCCAGCAGCAGGGCACTGGATCCAAGAAGCATGAAGGGGTTAGTACCAAAAACCCTCCGCCTATACGAAAACATTACATGCGAACAAGATCACACAAAGTTAGGAACACTTAATACTAATGTCATTTGAATTCGAACATGTTTACTAGTGTTATGTAACATGTGAGATTATTTACTTATGTTTTCAAAACTAGTTGTTTACAATTTTCAGACTATGATAAAACATGTTACTAAATTACAGCATTGGTGTGCTCATTTGTATATTCATGTCTGTTTCTGACAATAAACTGCAGAGTAATTCAGAGAAAGATGATGCTCCGATGAAAGATAATGTCAACATTGGTGCATGTGAGAGTGTTAACGCCCCCGGGGATGCAAAAGGAAAGAAGGCTACCGTGAAGGAAGAAGAGGCCCCAGAGATGAAGGAAGAAGAGGCCCCAGAGCCTAGTTTTTGTGAAATTGACCCGAAGACGTGTGATGTTGACTTCGACGCGGTTGCACTAGCCAAAAATGCCAAAGCCAGAGAAGCGGCTCAGATAGTTGCCCGAGCAACGAGTGCCAGATACCGCCAGCTGGCTGTGACGCAGAAGAGTCCGTTCTTAGGAAACAGCACCGCAAAGGCCATCATTCCATCGTCGGCATCTCACTCCGGCCGTGTCCGTGGATATGATCCTTTTGATCAAACCGGTGTCAAGGCGAAACATATCACTCTGATGAACTTTATCAGATCAAACCCGTAAGTAGACTTCTATACGTATGTAAGTAGACTTCCTCATAGTATTATTTCCTATCTAACTCTTTCACTTATACAGTGCCTATCCAAAACGCCCAAGACACTCTTCGATCGAGTGGTATTACATTCTCCGGACACCGACGAAATGACTAGCTGATACGGTTAGTGTTTTACCTTCTCATATTAGACTTCATACGTAAACTTCTATAATAGACTTCGTTTACAGGATTTAGACTTCGTTTGCAGACTTCACTCATGTCTTATTTTCACCAATGTGCAGCACATGGAAGCTTACATCAACCTACTCAGGCTGCGATTATCCAAGCATCCGGAGTGGTTTGTATCCAACCGGATTTGCTTTCTCAACTCCATGTTTGCTACTGTTTGGAGGCGTGACTACAAAGACTTCAAAAACTCTGAGCCGAATGCAGATGGGTCTGGCAAACTTCTACCGCCTGGAGCATATTCGTACTACACTGGCGAATTACCTATCTACTGCCAGACTAAGAAGACGTGGGCATATGATGTCGACTATTTGTACTCCATGTTGCACATTAGGAAGGACCATTGGGTAGCAATATGGGTCTCATTTGTGACAAAGCATATCACGATATGGGATAGCCATGCGGCCACCAAATATGCATCTGACGAGCAAATTGCCGAAGCTGTGGAACCTCTTGCGGTTATGATACCCTACCTTCTTCAGACCTGTGCACCTGACGATGACAAGTGGAGATTCCCCTACACGCCGTTCACCCATTCGCGAGTACCAGACACGGAGATACCTCAAAACATTCAGAGTGGTGATTGCGGAGTGTACTGCCTGAAGTACATCGAGTGTCATGCATTGGATTTTCTATTTCCTCCGGAACTTTGCGATAAAAACATTCGAAAAATTAGGGAGAAAATGGCTGCAGAGCTCTTTGACGAAACAGGTTGTAGGGGCCATGATAAGCTAGATGCAACCGGGCTGGATGTCTATGATAGGAAAGCTTAGTGTTTCCGTTCTTAAAACTAACTTTGTTTTTTATGGCAACTTTTGGGCTACTTGCATAAATGACCTTCAATGTGATTGGAGGTCATTTTAGCAATTGGTAGATGATAGGTGTGGAAGTTTTTTGGCCACCTATCTTATAATTAACTTGCCAAATATGTTGTATTTTCGTTTAGGATATTGTACTCAAACTGAAGTCTTTGACTAAAGTCTACTAAGTTGTAATCGTAATTGTACTGAAGTCTACTAAGTCTATTAACATGTTAGTATTTCTAATTTTTGATTTCACCCTTACAACTGATTAAGTTCTGCAAAATATCATTGATCATGCGGAAAAGAGTATACGGAAAAGTGTATACGGAAAAAGTGTACACCGATAGTGTAAACGGAAAATGATTTATTAAAATAAGAATTATTAGTCTATAAACGAAGTCTACAAACGAAGTCTACCATAGTCATGTAAACATATAAGTAAACCCAAAAAACATAAAACATGGAGTCAACTAATTTCACTGCAGCCATTCATTTGCAAATCCAGGAATTATTTTCCAGAATAAGGCACATTCCAACTTCCAGAAGCAAGGACTGCAGAGTTTGTCACCATATGAGTCCACGAGGCGTTCATCATCCATCCAGTGCTGGTTTGGCAGATTCATACAAGCACAACTCCTTGATTGTGCCTTATCAAAAACATGGAAGACCGGTTCGTGAAACGCGTCAGGCTTCTTATAAGTGGTCGGACACCTGTTTATCTGCTGCATAGTCTTCCTCATCTTCGTTGCCTCTGCCGGAACTATACCACGAATGTGGTTAAATACATCATGGCTACCATCCATGGTTAAAGAGAACATAACCATGGAGTAAGTAGCCATGAGGCATCCTCCATTTGATGACACCTTTATTAAGTCAAATCCTTCTTGGATGCTATCTTCATAGAAGATTAGAGAAACGGCTCGTAGGTATTGCGCTGTAGGATTTCTACACTCTAAACAGCGCCGAAAGAAAGCGTCAACCCTCCCATGTTGATCCCATACCCATGGAATCGTCAAAGTTATTAGATCAACGGCTCTTAAAAAACCCTCTTCATTAGAAATCTCATTTAGATGTTTGGAGGAAACCCTTGCTCTATAGAGCCCACCGTAGGAACGAGAAGTGATTTTTAAGAGGATATTCTACAGAATGTCGGAAGGGAGAGAGTTGAAGTTTATCTGGTTCGACATCTTCAAAGGGTCTGGAATGAAACTATAATTCGTCTAAACCCGAGAATTTATAAGCAAAAATACAGTACACAAACAGGTACAACGGTTATACGCACCGTTAAAGTCGTTAAAGCAGTTACATATATGAAGTCGTTTCAAACATAACTGTCAACAAAATATCACATACACAGTAGACTTCGACAGTAGACTTCCCCAATAGACTTCTATAGTTGACTTCCATAGCAGACTTTTTTGAGAACAATAGATGCTTTGTCTTCCTATTCCGGAGCCTTCTTGTTATTTTCCTGGTGAATCTTCGACGGCTAAGTATATTAAATAAAAATTTCAACATTGTTAGATGAGTTTAGCTCAACTTACACAATTCGGTAGGGTATGACCAGGTTTCTTGCATTGGGAGCAGATGTATACTTTGTGCAGCTTCCTTGGCTTCTTGCTTTTCCTCCTAGCAATTTCTAGCCATGATTGCCACCGAGACTTCTTCCGTCTGCCTGGTGCACGGCGAATGTCTGGTGGCAGACATATTGATGTTGGGACTCCTTGGACCTCTGAAATTTGGGGATATATGTTGGCAGAGTATGTGGCAAACAAGTAGTTTTTTTAGTAAGTCGGACATACAAGGGAATCCACAGCTATCCCACCGGCTAATGCAGCTGCAATAGCATGTGAACATGGGATATTCTCGATATAAAACACACCACATTCACACATTCCATGTTCCAAATCAACAATACAATTCCTGGTTCCTCCTTTCACATAGTATCTCCAAGTGTCAATTTGGTCCACCTCCATTGCATCTGCATAATGTCCACGAATCGCCAGCAAATACTCCATTCCCCGAGTATTATGTGCTGTGAGACTCAAAGCATCCTCTCTGCGTTTTAAAAACCACCGACCGAGTTTCTCTCGTATGAAATCCAAGAGAAATGAAATGGGATAGCCACGGGCCTTCTTAAGTGCAGCATTTATAGACTCTGCAACATTGCTAGTCTTAATATTGTATCTGTCTCCAACAAAATGAACTCGGGACCAAAGAGAGACATCGGCTTCTTCCAAATAGTCAGCAAGGTCAGGCTTGATCTGTCTCAGCTCCGCCATGTACCGGTTGTAGTCATAGAGGTTGTAAGCATAAGCCACACGTTTACAGCAACTGCTTCCCCCTAAACTTTGTTACTATGTTATGTTGTACATGGTAGTAGCAGATCCCTCGTTTTGCCCATGGGAAAATAGTTTCACAAGCTTTCTTAGTAGAAATATGTCTGTCATAAACTATCACCAAAGGATAACCATCTGAGACACATTCACGCAGTTTAGAAAATAACCATTCCCATGAAGCATCATCTTCACCATCAACAATTCCAAAGGCCAAAGGAAAAATCTGAAAGTTTCCATCTTGTGCGGTGGCAACCAACAAAGTGCCCTCGTATTTCCCTGTTAGATGACATCCATCAACCACAATAACTCTTCTCATGTACTGAAAACCAGCAATCGATGCTCCAAATGCGAGAAATAGATATTTGAATTTGTTATTCGAATCTACATGAAGAGCTGATACAGTTCTCGGATTGGCTTTGTTCACTGAATGTAGGTAAGCTGGGAGACTCGCATATCCATCTTCAGCTGTTTCCCTGACCAATTGTTGGGCATATATCAAAGATCTGTAAGAGGTAGTGCAATCCATCTTGATGCCAAACATATGCTTCATTGAAACTCTGACATGTTCTGGTGTAAGTCCATCAATGATGCCTAAATGGCTTATAAACAACTTGCCAATATACTTAGAAGTAGACTTCCCACGATGAGCCATTCGATGGGCTATTGAACATGTGTGGTCTTTCACATATTTTGTCACCCAAAAAGTGGATGCATCATTCTTCACGCTCGCTTTAACCATCCATGCACATCCTTCCACTCGACATTTAGCTACAAACAGGGTCTTGGTAGACTTCTGTGTTTTAAAAGCAAATTTTAACATTATGGCAGTCAGTCTAACCTCTGATAACAGCGTCTCTTTTGTAGGAAAATTTGCCCTAACATATATATTATCAGACCATGACATGGGCGTGCTCCCTGTTTCACCATATCGGTTTCTGACCTTTTCAATACAGACTTCATCTTCATCATCATCTTCATCTTTCACTTTACCGTAGACACTGTAATCTTCTCCGTCAGAGTAAGCTGCATCGTCGACATCTTCTCCATCCTCGTTCACATCAGAACTGTCTGCCTCATCATCGGTAGAATGTTCTGAATTTTCCTCAGACTCCTCACCTAAATCTTCATCTGATCCTTCCTGGTTCTCCTCAGTATCCATCTCCACTCGACAGGACACACCAAGGCGTAACATATGTACTCTGCTTAACGCAATCAAGCTTGAAACTTGTCTATCATTGGTGACATGCATTGGAGGTGTATCTGGAGCCATAGTTTGCAACATTGAGACTGGTAGTGCGTAGGTTAACTCGATGATCTCAGTCTTCTTGCCGAAGTTATAATCATCTCGCGCCATTTCAGTAAGCTGCCCAAAGGTGCAACCATCGTTCAAAAACCACATTCTTCCACCTTTGCGCATGTCAACAACAAAATGCCATGAATTCTCCTTAATCTTCCACTCACCGTACACAACTGGAATTTGAGCCATTCTCTGAAAAAATAACCATATAAACCGTATTAGCAAACACTGCATAGAGACTTTTTGTATCAAAGTAGACTTCACGACGAAGTCTACTTTGATAAGCTAAGTACCTTAAAAATCGAAACTTCTGATTCAACAATAAATATCCAATGAAACGGAATAAAAATCACTAGGTAGTTCAATCACTAACTAAGAAACAAATATAAACCAAAAAAATTGAAAAGTATTTTATAAATTTCCTTAAAACGCGTTTTTACAAAAACGTCAAAACGTAGACTTCTAATGCAGACGTCGAATGTAGACTTCACGACGAAGTCTACTTTTATAAGCTAAGTACCTTAAAAATCGAAACTTCTGATTCAACAATAAATATCCAATGAAATGAGATAAAATTCACTGGGTAGTTCAATCACTTACTAAGAAGCAATTTTGAACTAAAAAATTTGAAAAAATAGTTTATACATTTGCTTAAAACGCGTTTTTAAAAAAACATAGTACATAGACTTGTAAATTAGACTTCAAATGTATACTGGAGGAGAAGTCTACTTTTTCATTGAGAAGTCTACTAATGAAGTCTACTAAAAAAAAGATCAATTTTTGCAATTGACCAATCTGTTGACTTTTCCTTCAGTAGACTTCAGGAGTAGACTTCAGGCAAAAAATGTTACTTTAGCATTTGACCAATGCATTGACTAACATAGTAGACTTCTATTGTAGACTTCATGTAAGAGTAAACTTCTCTGACAATCTACTTTTGAAGTCTACTTTTTAAATAGAAGTCTACGGAACAAAATAGGTTATTTTTGCAATTGAATTTTTTTAGTAGACTTCACAATGAAGTCTACTCAAAAAAAGATTCCTTCTAAGTTTGACCGAACACAATAAGTAGACTTCACAAAGAAGTCTACAGTTTGTAGACTTCTTTGTGAATTCTACTGAAGCTTTTTGGAATTTTTTAAATTTCTTAATTTTTGAAAAACAGAAGTCAAACACAAAAATGACCTATACGTTTTTGGTCAAACTACAAAAGTAACTTGAAAGTAGACTTCGTATGCAGACGTAAACAGTAGACTTCAGAAGGAAGTCTAAATCCAAAAGTCAAAATACGGTCAACTACAAAAATAACCTCTTTTTTTCGTAGACTTCTTAAGCCTTCAAATGAAGTCTACTATGCTTTTTTTTTTGTTTTCAAAGGATATCGAGTAGACTTCTCGTGAGGTTTAATGAAGTCTACTTTTTAAAAGTCAATTGCAAAAATAACCTTATGTTGACTCATAGATTTCAGTATAGTTCACGAGAAGTCTACTTTCGCGACATAAAAACTGAAATGTGGAGAAATTGAAGTGCGAGGATTACATTTAACAAAATTGAGCTCCCCTAAGTTTCTCTTATCCACCAAGAACTTAGGATTTCACCGAAATTAAACAACCCAGGTGTCGAGTAACCAGAATTCACCGAAAAAGTATGGCGCGAAGCATTGTAACTGTGCCCAGATGTTTTGGAGAAAAATTATGATAGAATGAGCAAGGTTATGAGTGAATGAACTCAGATATTTGTTTTATTACAGCTTTAAAATTGGTTGATAAGCATTTATTCCATTTTCATGGTTGTTCATGGTAGTTGAAGGTATTGAAGACGATGATATTCTCGTAATTAAAAAGTCTTTAGAAGGTCCAAGAAGACTTTAGCCAATTAAAGAAAAATCGAATTATTAGATGTATAATGGCATTTTCGTTAATAGTTTAAGTGGGAAGGATAAAATTATGAGAAAATGGCAAAAGTTGGAGAGAGAAAAAAAAGAGGTTAGTTTGGTGTTTGACTTTGAAATATGGGTTAAATCTGAAACTCTCCCTTAAATTTATAGTAAAAAGATGACAGATAAATTATGATTTGAAAGTAAAAATTAATATTACAAGATCTGAACTCGTGAATACAAAGTCTCCTAGAAACTCTAACAACAAACTTTTCACTGATTAAACTAATATTGTTATTGATATCGGGCCTAAAAACTGAATTTATAGATATGTGGTCTAAAGCCATTGTCCTTTTAAAAATTGGCGAGAATCGGTCTCTCCCTTTCGCTTAGGACTCTCTTGTCTATCTAGAGTCTTTAGTTTTTTGGAAAGTGGGGCTTTTGGCTGGGTTTTTTCCCCTTAGTTTTTCGTTAAAAGTGGTTTTTAACAAGATTTTGGTGAATCTTTGAGAAATCTTTCGGTTTGTATTAGGGTTTATCCAGTTTTCTCGAGTGTTCTTAAGCGCCGTCATCAACGTTCAAGAACCCTAAATTGGCTAAACTGAGATTTCGTGTTTTGAAAGCAACTTTTGCGTAATGGCGAGTATTGACAATGCGATGATGGCCTTGTCTATCGAGGAGGAGGAAGAAGTTCCCTTTGTGTTACCAAACTTCAGAAGTATTGTTCTAGCGAGAGAAACGTTCTGAGCATTATGGGCAGAACTCTAAACCCATCGTGTCAGAATATGGCGGATCTAATCTTGGATATGCCAAGGAAGTGGCAGGTGTATGACAGGGTTCGAGGGGTGGCTCTATCGAGTGAACGATTCCAGTTCATCTTCAAGTACGAGCATGATCTGGAGGAAGTTTTAAAAAAGCGTGTGTGGACTTTCAATGAATGGTCTATTATCATTGATCGCTGGGTGGAAAAACCACCGGATGACTATTTGAAGTTTATGCCGGTGTGGATTCAGATCAGGAACATTCCTGTCAACTACTACACCGAGGCCTCGATCTATGACTTGGGAAGTATCATTGGGGAGGTCAAAGAGATGGCTTTTGATCCAGAGAAGCCTCAGAGTAAAGATTACGTGCGAGTCAAGGTTAACTTTGATGTTTCAAGGCCTGTGCGCAGATCGAAGGAAGTGATCCTTCCAACTGGGGAGACTACGACAATTTGGTACGATTTTGAGTGAATCCAGAAGAGATGCTATAATTGTCAACGCTTAACTCATGAGAAGGATAAGTGCCCTCTACTTATCAAGATGAGAAAGGAGAAAACAGAGGCGAGAAGAAGGAATATGGTCTTAGAAAAGCAAAAGCAGGAACCAATCATTAAGGAATCTGATCCTCTCTTTGGTGTACTTACAGATGAACAAGTGGGTAATGATCCCAACTCAGGAAGTCCGAAGATTCACCCGGAGGTGTTGCAATAGATGCACCTATATTTGCTGGCAGCAGAGGGGCCAGAAAGGAAGATCAGAGAGGAAAAAATTAAGAAGTCTTTGTGGGATCTCAAGCAGGACATACGTAACCAGAATATGGTGTTAAGACTGGAATCTGGACCGATTTTAACTTCGTCTTTGGATAAGGAGAAAGGGCCTGTTTATGAAGGAAAATCAAAGGAAGAACTCCCTGGTGACCATGAGAAAACCATTGGTTCGAACGCGTGTAGAACAGAGGAGAAGGGAGGAAAGCTGATGTCATCGGCCATAAACGCAGGTTAAGCGATGAGACTGGGCAATTGGGCCTTGACAGTGGCCTCGGAGAGAGCTGCAAAAAGCCTAGAATCGCAGTCTTCTGGTTTCCAATCGTGCTCAGGGGGTTTTGAGTTTGGGTCCTCTGAAGGGAGTTCCTCCGGGAAAAGGGTGAGACGTTACCAACCGCGGAAAAAGAATGCAGCTCCAAGGAAAAAATCATAAAGCAGATCGAGAGCAAAAACTAATGATATAGCTGAGAAGAGTGGGGATGTAAGTTTGGGTATATCCCCTCAGAAAAGAAAAGCAGATGGAGGTGAGAAAGTGGTGTCTGAGAGCAGGTCCAAAATCGCAAGGCGTAATGACTTAGAGGCGGTCCCGAATGAGGGACTGTCGTCTGCCCAATGAGCTTTATGAGCTGGAATTTTCAAGGCTTGGGCCGGGCACAAGACTTGACAATTCCCCGTCTCAAGGAGATGCGTCAAAAACATTTCCCTGAGCTTTTGTTCTTAATGGAAACGAAGAGATGTAGAGATGGTGTGGTTGATATTCAAGCATGGTTAGGGTATGAACGGGTGTTTACGGTGGATCCTATTGGTTGGAGTGGTGGTTTAGCTCTCTTTACAAAGCACAATGTGATGGTTGAAGTGAAGTTCGCTGACAAACATCTCATTGATTGCTATGTGCAATTCGGAGCTTTTGAGTTTTTTTATTTCTTTTGTGTATGGTGACCCGGAGGTCAAAGGACGAGCACACGTTTGGGAAAGACTAATGCGTATTGGAGTTCAGAGGAAAAAGGCTTGGTGTATGGTGGGTGATTTTAATGAGATTTTGCATAATGGGGAAAAGATTGGAGGGCCTAAAAGAAGCGATGCATCTTTCAAACCTTTTGCTGAGATGTTGCAAGTGTGTGAGATGACTGAACTATTGGGAGCTGGAGATGGTTTTACATGGACGGGTGTAAGACAAAAACACTGGGTTCAGAGCAAGTTAGATCGGTGTTTTAATAACAAACAATGGAGATAGGCCTTTCCCCAATCGAACCAAGTTTTCATGGAAACGTTAGGTTCATATCACAGACCTGTTCTGGTGAATTTGATGAACAGACAAAGAGCGACTCACGGCTCCTTCCGTTTTGACAAAAGATTAATCGGGAAACCACAAGTGGTGGAGGCCATTCGATTGGCTTGGCTAGAAAATCATCAAACGACACCTCTCAGTTTGATGGACCGTCTGGGTGCTTGCAGGAAATCCCTGAGTAGATGGAAAAGAGAGAATCAGAACAACTCCATGGATAGAATAATGAAACTACGACATGAGCTGGAGGTGGAAGAATCAGCTTTTTACCCGAGAATGGACTATCGCCAAGAACTAAAAGTGGAAATAGCAAAAGCTTATAGAGAAGAGGAAAAGTTTTGGCAACAAAAATGCAGAGATAAATGGGTGCAGTTAGGTGACAAAAACACTAAGTTTTTTCATGCATCGGTTAAGGCTCAGAGGAACAGGAATAAGTTGGACTTTCTGATTGATGATCAGGGGATGAAAGCTACATCGACGGGTTCGATGGGGGCTGTAGCAGGGAAATACTTTCAAGATCTGTTTACATCTTCAAGACAAAACAACATTGATGGTTTTTTCATTGGTTTTCCATCAAGGGTATCAGATCGTATGAATGCAGCTCTCATCAAGTCAGTATCAGCTTCTGAGGTTAAGAAAGCTGTTTTCTCAATAAAGGCTAGTAGTGCACCAGGAGTAGACGGCATGAATGGCCTCTTTTTTCAACATTACTGGGTGATTCTTGGACCTCAAGTAACGAAGGAGGTGGTGAATTTTTTCGAAACAGGGGAGTTTCCATTAGAATGGAACTACACTCAGATTTGCCTTCTCCCTAAAGTAAATAAACCGACTAAGATGGTGGACCTGCGACCAATAAGCCTCTGTATGGTTTTATATAAAATCGTGTCAAAGATCTTGGTCAAGAGATTACAACCGTGGCTTTCGGATATTGTGTCCCCTACTCAGTCGGCTTTTGTGTCTGAAAGATTGATCTCCGACAATATCATCATTGCCCATGAAATGATTCACGCCCTTAGAACCCACCCTCGGATATCCTGCGAAAACATCGCCATCAAAACTGACATGTCTAAAGCATATGACCGTATAGAGTGGGATTATTTAGAGTCACTGCTTCACGCTTTGGGTTTTAACGAGAAAGTGGTATCATGGATCATGTTTTGTGTTAAATCGGTGACGTATACGGTGCTTATTAATGGAGAAGCACATGGTATGATCAAACCGGGAAGAGGTCTACGTCAGGGCGACCCTCTTTCCCCTTTTCTCTTTGATCTTTGCACAGAAGGCTTCTCTCATCTTATGCGTACAGCTGAACAGTGTGGAAAGATCAGTGGAATTGGTTTTTCAGAAGAGGGGCCAGAAATTCACCATTTGCTTTTCGCTGATGACTGTCTGATCTTATGCAAAGCTGATTAAGCTCATTCCGAAGAGCTATACACAATTCTAAAAGAGTATGAGCGAACCTCGGGCCAAGTGATTAATTTCAACAAATCGGCGATTACTTTTGGTGAGACTATATATGAGGACATCAAAAAGAAAATCAAGGAAAGGTTGGGCATTGCTAATGAAGGGGGAGCAGGAAAATACCTTGGTTTGCCAGAGTGTTTTAGTGGGTCAAAGGTTGAAATGTTGAACTACATTCAGGAGAAGATGAAATCAAGATTTCAAGGATGGTATGGGCGTTTTTTATCTCAAGGAGGGAAAGAAATTTTGCTTAAATCTGTGGCAATGTCCATGCCAGTTTATGCGATGTCAGTTTTTAAACTGCCAAAGGTCACTTGTCAAAATTTAACAAGTGCGATGTCAAATTTCTGGTGGAATGCACAAGAGGACAAAAGAAAGATACACTGGGTGTCATGGGAGAAGATGTGCTTAGAAAAGGAGCTAGGAGGGCTCGGGTTCAGGGATATTGAACTTTTCAATCAAGCTTTACTTGCTAAGCAAGCGTGGAGACTTATCTCTTTACCAGATAGTTTGTGCTCAAGAGTGCTCAAAAGTAGGTACTACAGGAACTCGGAGCTCATGCAGGCTGGGGTGGGAAGCAGACCATCATTTGCATGGAGAAGTATACTGCACGGAAGGGCACTGCTTGAAAAGGGGCTAAAAATGTCGGTTGGATCAGGAGACACAATCAATGTATGGCTTGATCGATGGATTTTTGATGAAAACCCTCGAGCTCCTTTTAGGCGACAATTGTTCTAGGATTTAAACTTGATGGTGAGGGATCTCATTGATCCTCAAACTCGAACTGGGACAGAGGAAAGCTCGACGATGTGATTGTGCCTGAAGATGTTGGCAGAATTCTCCAACAAAAACCAGCCTTTGGAAAGAAAGACAGTTTCAAATGGGTATATAACAAGAGTGAGGAATATTTGGTTAAATCTGGGTATTGGTTGGGGAGGAGACTAAGACAATCGGAAGTGAGAACAGAGGCCATGGTACATCCATCCCTTAACCCGCTAAAGGCACAAGTGTGGCAGGTGAAAACCAGCTCGAAAATCAAAGTTTTTATGTGGAAGGCGCTGAGCGATTCTCTGTCGGTATCGGATGGATTGAAAGCCAGAGGTTTAGTGGTGGATGAGGTGTGTCAGATCTGCGGGGGAAATGGTGAATCAATCAATCATGGTCTCTTTGAGTGTACATTGGCAAGACAAGTATGGACGCAGACAAATTTTCCTTTTCCAAGTGAAGGTTTTCATAAAAGCTCTGTCTATGTGAATTTCTCATATTTGTTCCAATGCCAAAAGGACCAACGGATTCCGGAGGAGATAAGGAGAAGCTTTCCATGGATAGTGTGGCAATTATGGAAAAATCGTAACGCTTATCTCTTTGAGGGAAAGGCTTATACAGCCACACAAACAGCAGAGAAAGTATGGGATGATTCGAATCACTGGTTTGTGGTGCAAGAGAGACATGAAATCGAACGAGTGGAAGGCCACTCTGGCAGTGTCGCCGAAAACCGGAGATGGATTCCTCCTGATTTGGGATATGTCAAATGCAACATAGCCGTTGCGTGGTCAAGAAGGAAACGCCTCTGTGGTGCGGCATGGATTGTTCGCTTCGCCGAAGGTAATGTGCTCCTACATAGCCGGCGAGCTTTTGGAAATGTTGATAATTTACGAGAAGCAAAGGCTACTAGTCATTTATGGGCTATTGAAAGCATGTGTAGTCATCGGCTGGAGAAAGTATGGTTTGCAACGGAAGCAACGGATATAGCGGATGCTATTCAACGTCCTCAAGCGTGGCCGGCATTTAGAGGCCAGGTTGCAGATTTGAGAGAAGCCTTACAGGGGATTGTGGAATAGAATTGGATAAAGGAGAGCCATATGACTAACCTACCGGCTCTCAAGATGGCTAGGAGTGTCATAAATGAAGATAGAATCCAATCCTATGTGGCTCAGGGAGAACCAGTTTGGCTGCATGAA